TATGGAAGTGCAACTGAATGCTAAAATTCAGCACAGATAAAATCTCCTGAAAGCAAGCCCTATGGAAGTACTTGTTTTTAGTGTGATGTATAGCTGAATGGATAATTCTTTCTCACCTGTATGGTGCTTCTTGCAGTGCTTGTACTTTCTGAGTACATCTAAAAAGAATGCATTGCTAAGGGGCAGTTCTGGATGTCATTAAAACCTGGGAAAGCAAAAGCAGGAAAAAGCAAAAGCTTACAGTTAATACATCTATTCCTATAGTGGTTTTGTTTGAGTAATTAAATGGGACATAACTGCTGCATAGTGAAATATCCATTGTTTTTGCTGCTTGTTAAGTCTTATTCCTGAAAATAACAGTATTGCTTCATCTAAATTAGGATCACATAAAACTCATAGCAGTGAACCTTGTGACTGGCACTTCTGTGTCTTCATAAATAATGATTCCTGTGGATCAGGGCAAAAATTGATTCTCAAAAAATCATGAGAATAAGTGGTTACCTCTAATACGATTAAAATGTTCCTGTTTTTCTCAGCACAAGCCTTTCTCAGCCTGACAGCATTTAAGAGCTTGACTTGTGTCAGTGACACCAAAGACCGGGCTCGGTTTTGATGGCTGCTGTGGTGCTGAGCTTGTTAGCAGTGCCTTGTCCTAAGTCACTGAGAGAGAGTGCTGTATTTAAATGAGTTTGCACCTGAGTTTTTCATGACATTAGTTCTTTCATCCCAACACAATTTATCCTTTGCTTATTCTTTAAGTTTTTAGAAGTTGTGGGGATGCTTAAAGGGCCACAGAAAGAAGGAACTGAAAAGCAGCTCCACCTGTGGCTGAAACTCTTGATTAATCTTGGTACAGAAGCAGAGCTGGAGGTGTATCTGTGAACTAGAAAGGGGAGCGACTGCATCACAGTAACACTTTCTGCAATCTATGAGGAACAGAAACTCATCAGTTAAGCTTTAATTGGACCGAACTCTATCTTGAAACACACTTTCTAGCACTTGATGCTGGAAAGTACAGAAAACATGGAAAGGAAGAGAAAACAAGCTGTATATGCAGGTATTCTCACATAGAGATCAAAGGCAAGGACTGATGACTTCTGTTCCCGTAGAGATATGCAGGCAAGTTAATAATTTAGAAACAGGCTACTGCAGGTCTTGAGGTTACCACAGATCTTTCTAATTCTTTGGTTTTTTGCTCTTCTAATAAGAAAGGTGAGAACAAGTGCATTTGTGAGGAAGGAACTCCCTCCAGTCCACTGTCGCACTCTTCCATGGGAACTAGGCTGGAGTACAGCTCACTCCCCTATTACCAGACAGCCTGATGGAAATCTTGAAGCTATTTGGGAACAGCTATAAAGGTATTTTAAGTGTCTGTGGGCACAAAAGAAGAAAGAGCATGGATAGCAGTGCCTACAAAATGTATTTTCCTGTAATATGGGGGCTGTATATCTAAGCGTTAAAAGCATGGAATGCTCTGGTGTGCTGTGCTAATTGCTGTGGTATGCTCTGCCTGATTGACTTCTCATGGAATGGAAAGTAGAGGTGAGGAGATGATCAATAGTAGATGTGAGAGAGCCCAAGGTTCCTTGTAACTTAGGGTTTAAAACTCTTCCCTGAGTTTGAGGTACTGGTCAAAGCACCATGAAACTAAAGAAGCAAGGGAGTTTTTGGCATCTTGCAGTGAAAGGGGAAAATGTGTCAAATATCTGCAATCGGGATGAAATAGTTCTCAGACTATAGATTTATCTCAGTGGAAAATGTCAAATGCTTTGAATTTTAGTCTTGGCATCACTTCTAACCCCAGGACACCTCCATTCCAGCCTTCATCCTTCAGAACATAGCTCACAGACTGGTTTCTTTGTGAAAGCTTAGAAGGATGGACCTCAAAACAGGAGCTGATCTTTGCTGTTTCTTCCTCTCCAGAAGTTCATTCCTTAAGGGCTAGGAAACACTTTCTCTTTTTTGGTGAGATAATATACTATAAAATTGTATTGATTAGTAGCTTGTGATCTTAAAAAAGCTTCCACTTTTAACAGTAAGTGTTCATAAATCAAAGTGAAATTATGTGCCAGGAGGCAATAGTCAAGATTTCTTTAGTGGAGCAGAAAAGCATGTTTGAAAGAAATCTGCACAGGCAGGTCAGAGGAAGGAAGAGAAAAATGAAAAGACTCATTTGAGGCTATTGTTAAATACTGAAAGAAAAGGAAATGGGATTAGAATTTTACACACTTTCTCCTGAGTTTTTGTTGCTCAAAAATGTTTCATCAGGAAATTCTATGTACATATGTACTTTTATTGGCAATGCATAGTTGCATAGCCATTCTTCAGCATTTGTAGTACACTACTAATCTCTTAGGAAGCTCAGCATTCACTCTATCAATATTTCATGGTCTGGAGAGCTTAGTGGAACTGCCATATGTATGTCTTCCTCACCATTCACATTGAGAGAAATCTTATCACAGCTACATTAGTTGTGGCAGTGTGTTAACACTTTGGAAAAAAAAAATACACTTTAAACACTCTGAATGCAATCTCACAGCTAAAAACAGACCCATATTTTATATGATCCTACTAACTGGTTCATAGTTTGGAGATCTTAACTCAAAATGGATCAAAAATAGCTAGAACAGGACAGGTTATAACCTAGGAGTAGGTCCATGCTTTCTTAAGGAACTTGCTTAGTCCTCACCTGCTTGCTTTCTTGTAGTGAATTAACTTTTGAAGTGGTTTCCATATACTGTGTATTGAAGTAAGATTGTGAAGGGTCCAGTGTCAGTGTGCTTGAAAGTCCTAGAAGTCATCCTGTCCAGTAATGGTACAGCTTTATTTAATCTTGAATCTCTCCCCAGGAGTCTCAGGATAATGATACTGCCATACATGCCTTAAAGGTTTTGTCAGATGGGATGGGAATTAACCTTCTTTACCCTCTTTGTGAACATTTATACTATTAGAAATACTATACCAGAGAGAGTGTGCTTCTGCTTCAAAATTTTGCAATGGAAGTTAGCTTGAAAGAAATTCTTCCCAAGTGAGGAAGAAGTATCTTTGAAAACTGACTGTGGGCTTGTTCACTGAGTTGGAGACCCCAGTTGACAGATATGGGACCAGATGCACAAGGAGCTATAAGATACCATATATATGAAGGCATATTTATTAGAGAAAGAAATTAAGACATCCTGTATAGCCAAAAATATCCAGTTTAACTGGCTTAAACAATACACTGAAACTTGTCTAACTCTTGAATTACTACTTCTTCTAATAAGAGATCAAACAAAAAAGCCTGAAAATCAGTTTAAGGCTAAGCTTTGGGTGAATAGGTGAGGGACTGACGATGAAGTACTTGAATGATGTTGAAATTAGGTTTAAAAGGAAAAAAAAATTAATGACATAGGGACTTTGTTTAAAGTCCTTGAGAGTAGCACTGTTCATTGCAACACTCACGGGAGTACACTGCCTTCATTTAGTCTTTCATCCAGAAAAGCAGGACACCAGGGTATAAATGAGCTATGCATACAAATGGATCTATTTTATATAAATCTATAGCTTTACCAATTATTGATGTACAGCCACAGGCAGAGAAAAGAGTATGATAAGACTCTGCTTGGCAGTTATGAAAGACTATGTGAACTATGAAAGATTAAATATGAACTGCAACTGAATGTGCAAGGGACACAGAGGCTACTCAGAGATAAGCGGGTAAACTGAGCTCCATGAGGCCAACCTAGTTTTGTTCAAATCTCCCACATGTGTTGTCTAGGGAGTACACAAGCAAAATAACTTCTAGATCTTTTGGATCACTTTTAGTTCGAAGAGAAAGCCAACTATGTTGTGTGGTACCCATTTCTGCAGTGGAGATTGTATAATGGTTGGAACAGTTTGTCTTGTTTTGCAAATTTTAAGTAGGCATGTAATGATTTCATTTTGCCTGATAGTGAATGAGTCCCAGGCAGAGTTAGATTGTCAATATGAGTCCCTTATGATAAGCTTTTTAATAAACCTTACTCTAATTCAAACAGTGGGGAGGAAAAAGCCTGAGTAGGAAAAATGCATGCTATTGGGATAAAACAACTGTGCATATGAGTATTACCAGCTTTCCCAGGAGATATTGAGCAGTCCTAGAGTTGCATCAATTCTGAGGCTACTTGCTAAACATTGAACTCTTGTGTGCTCAGAATAGTTTAATAATGTGAAAGTGCAGAGGGCTCCATTCTGCTTTTTCATCAAATGGGATGCTAATATACCTCTGCTGTCATTATAAAATTAATTACATTTCACCTTAATGCCACTCAAGGCCTGGAGAACCTCAAGGCAGGGTGGTGGTCAAAGCTTGGACAGGATGAAGCACAGGAGTAAGCATTTGCATCTATAAAACAATCTCCAAGCTGATGCATTGATGGAGTGCTTTTTCTAAGGAAAATTAATTTGTATATGACTGATACATAACTTTCTAACCTGGCTGAATAGGGAGTGATCTGACTCTGCACAAAAAACTATACCAAATACTTGGTACAATGCTGATAAGCTGCTACAGCTGCTTGTAAACCTGCTGAGCATTTTTTCACTGAAGACTTTTTGCCACCTTTGTAGTACTTCCTCCTTCTTTGGTCTAAAATTAGAGCCCCGACTAGAAGGGAAGCAGGGAGGAAATCAATACACTTTGACAGTCAATAGCTTGCCTTTTTTTTTTCTTTTTCTTTTTTTTTTTTGAGGCATTTAAGAACTGGCTTCAGATGTTCTTGGCCTCCTCCTGCCTTTTATAAACTATGAGATACGGTGGAATTATGTCTCCAGCTTTATAGCACAAAGGATTAATGTACATTTTAAACAGTACATAAAGCTGTCAAAGTGCCGCATAAGCTCGTAACAGTTTGTCTTAGCAATGACCTGTGGGCTCTCAGGTAGCTAGGGAACAGTTGGACTGAAACAACAGCAAACTGCGTGGAGAGCTGACTGCTGAGTGGCAAACTCCATGTCACTGATCAAATACTTTGTCTTTACAGGCCGGGTTTCCTTTTTCACATCTGGATCGGAGAACCTTCATCGGGTGGAAAAGGTTCACTGGGGCACTCGCTATGCCATCACCATCTCCTTCACTTGTAACCCAGACCATGGCATTGGGGATCCAGTCTTGATATAATTCCTCCGGGAATGGAACGTGAGGTCAAACAGAATGAGAAGCCCTGCAAAAGGAGAGGAAAGAGGGAGATAACAGCTCTTGTTAACCTCACATTCAATTAGAATTTCCCAGCTGTATTAATATATTGTAATACATTTTGTTTTCACATGTCCTTTTCTGTAAATGTAGCAAACAGTGCCTTAAAGACCATCTTAAATTTGATGTATTCTGAAAATGGTTTTTCTTCATCTCCTAAAGGGACAGGCTACAAAGAATTGACTTTTTTTTAAAAAAAAAATAAATTCTCCACTTTAAGAGACAAACAATCTTTTGGGCTATGTCTTGGTATGACTCCCCACGCTGCTGTTACCTGTTCAGTTATTTAGTCTCTTCAGTTACCAGTGGGATGTAGAAAGCTTCACCTAAGTTAATGGAGAAAGATGAATGTTATTCTTTTGAATATACCTCTGATGAGAGGAAAGTGTTCTCCTCAGCATGGGCATTAGTGGGCAATACACCTCTCGTTTGACTACTGGAATTTACCTGAACTTTTTTTTTTTTTTAAATTGAATTACTGCAAATATCTTCTGCTACAAATGGGGACTAGTTAAAACAAAGGCAGAAAAACAACTCTATGGTTAGCCAGAAAACATCTCACTTTTGGATTACAAATGCTTTGATGTGCTAGAGAATGTCATGGCATTAGATCCCTCTGATCATAATGCAGCATTCCCAGCTCACCTTATTTTCTCTGAGTCATAATGAAAATGATCAGTCCCGTTGGAAGCCCAGTGCTACAGTTAAAGAGCTCTTTATGGAGATGGCTTGACCGTGTAACCATGTACATTAAGTACATACTAAATAAGAGAGTTGGGCAGAGGTAATCAAGCAGTCCTCTGGATTCATCTGAGCATTCATCGATACCTCGTTCCCAGGTAGGGCAGTAGGATTTGGGAGGGGAACAGCTGAGTCAGAAAAGCTAGTTCTGTTGTGATTTTCTGTATGCCAGTTCTGGTCTCTTTAGACTCAATCCTGTGAACCTTGGCTTGCTGTTGGAAGGCTGGCTGAGAAAACCACGTGGACCAGGGGACTGAGTGTGGTATGCAGGGTCTAAGGGAAACTGGTGTCTACCTACATTTTAAATTGATATGGTCTTGAGCTGGAGCTTGGTAATAAAACACTTTTAGACTCAAAAAAGATATATTTTCAATGTAATCTTAAGATCAAGTTGGAGGAAGCTTTTTTTAATTGGTGATGCAACTACAAATATTAAGTTGTGAAATACTGTGTTCTGAAAGTTTCTCAATAGCTCTTTTTGGAATTCTCTTTTTCATTTTACTTTAAAGACTTTTTTCTAGTCACTAGAACTATTGGTCTGTGGTATTCCTTGAATAATAAACTGCAAGGACTTCAGAGAAGAGGGGATGATTGCATTGCAGTACAGATAAAATAACTAACAAATGCGTAATCTTGCCAGCTACCTTGCTTTCTTAATACAGTCAAAGACTTTTGTGGGTCAGCACATGAATAAGTAAATGGTAGGATTTTTTTTCTCAATCAGATTCTGAAACAAACATGTTGATTTGTTTTATTAATAGTCTATGTAATTTCTGTGAAACACTTTGAAAATCTGGGAATGTTTTTCGATTTTTTAAAAAAATATTTTTTATTTTATGCATACAGTTTTCACTTTTGTTTTAATCTACCCTTTTAATGGAAATAATAAGTATTGGGGGGATTACACTGAAGACCAATATAAAGAGGAATGATGGCAGGACATTTGAACTTGTTTTATTGTAAGTGTTCTCATTTGGCACACCAGCAAGATTAGTCTTCTGTAATTTCATTTCTTTGTTCTCAAACCTGAAAGTCTTCCTTGTCTGTGTTAACAAGGAAGAATTGTTAAAATGGCTGGATGCTAGGAAATAAAATCAGTTGGGTTCCTTATCTAAATACTTGTGTCAAAGCCTGTTAATTCCAAGAAATTTGCCTTACACCCAAGCTGTAAGTCTATGTGAAGGCAGACCAAGATCACCAGCAACTGTTTTACTGGCTTAAAACTTAATTCCTGATGTTACCTTGAGATTTAAATGTAGAGCTTTTTCTATAAAAATACCTGATAGCAGTGGAATCTAAATATGAATGCTCCTGTGTGGATTTGGGTTGGGATTCTCCAGGTTGAGGTCCTATGTTCCAAAATTCTTAACTTAACTGTCCTGTCATTGCTCTGCAACACTCATATAAATTACTTTGCCACTTTAAAAAGTGTGTGTTAGTTATTTCTGTCTGTCATGCAGGCTTTGAGTTGCAGTAAATGAAAGTGGCACTTTCAGAGCTGCTCCCTATAAAATGCTGCTTAACAAGATCATGTTAGACCACGGGGAAAATCTCAGCTAATCTCCTCTTGGATTTTCATTTTTTGAAGATGCTGTGTGCTCTGGTATCTCCTGAACATGGTGCATCTGTGAATGGACTGCCATTCAGAAATAAAATCAAGTTGCTATTTGTCTTTGGGAGTTTTTAAGCTTCAGTAAAGTGTTCAACATGATAATCAAACCTGTCAAATATAATTTGTAGAAAAAATGTGTGCTGTACCTGGTAAGAGAATTGATCTTCTGAAAGAAGTACAATAATTCAATATGCTGTATGTTTCACTACCAACCAAGATTTTTCTATTTGAAGCTTCAATATCTGGACTACTAAATGCAGTATCTAGATCTGTGATGAAATTAAATAGCAAATGAGGAACTACAGTGCACTCTAAAAGATTCTGAACATAGCCTACAGCAGGAAAACAGCAATTGCAGAAAGGCTGATGTTCCTGGGGCAGAAATTTGCAGAATATAAGAAAGAAACTTGGCTTAATTTATTTTAGTCCACTTAGATACTCCAAATAACTTTTTATTAAGGGTATTTCTTCCCAGATTGTGACAGATAATTCTGCATTTGAAATATTTTAGTTACAATCTGTCCTTTTCCATGTTCAGCCTGCCTGTTGCTACTGGGAAATGCGGAACTCTGATGACGCTGAGGACAGGATTTGTTCTGTTAAACTCTCATAAATCTGATGCCAAGCTGCTGTGGACAAGTGCTCTTAATTGAGCACATACGTGGTGATGGCAGAGTTTGGCTTAATGTTTCCCAGTTACATGAGAACCACTGTAAAGAGCCCTCATGGTTCAAACAAAGTAAAGAAAGGTCAGTACATGTTCAGTGTGAATTGGGGCTAAGTCCTGACATTAAATTTACAGCCTTGTACCTGAAAGCATACTTGTTACAAGTACTTGGGAATGTTGATTTGTATTTTGAAAGAAATTCTGAAAGAAAAATATTTGTAAGGAAAGATAAAACCTGCTTGTGTGAAAAGTCCCAGGGTGAAACTGAAAATACAGCAGGAGAGAAGCCAAAGTTTCAATCCCTACTAAGAGACTGAGTGAAGCTTCCTGAGGACTTCTGTGAAATTGTACTACTCTAAAATAATCTTTCCATTCAAAGGTTTTGGGGGATGTCAGAAACTTTTGCAAAATGAACAGGTATGTGATCAGATTCAGTTTTTGGTGTTAACCTAGCTTTCAGTCCTGTAGCATGCATTTCTATTTTTTATCCCCTGTGATACGATTTTAGGAACCCTGGGTGGGCTTCTTGGCATCTCATGTATAAAATTTTCATTGTGTAAGCAGCTGTGGAATTGTGTTTTTTAATTCCACGTAAATCAGCTGAAGGTTTGGAAAGGTAAATTTATGTTGAGATTTTCCTGAATATGTATTATCCACCTGAAATATTTTAAGCTCCATTTAAATTAATTTCAAGTCTAGAAATGCTTCCCAGGATACTCCATTTACAAAAAGATTTTAATTTGGATTTACAGTAGAAATTTAGCTTCATCTCTTACTTATTTTTAAGATCAGCATCTCAAGAGGGTACTTTCTGAGGCTGTAGCGCATAGTGATGTGCACACTGAAGTAAGAGTCTAGCTGAAATGTCATTGATAATGATGATGCTGTCAAGAAAATCTGGTTTTGTTTCTTCTCCAGTTGCAATACTGAGTACATTTGAATGTCTTCTTTATAGCTTTCCTTTTTCCAGTAAATAAAGATAGCTTTGTTTTTAATATAGAGTTCCTCACGTTCCTTCCAAATCCGGATAATCCTTACACAGTGTTTACATGTGAATTGGATCTCTCATGTGCTCGTGTATGGCTTTGTGCAATATTTCTACCTTGCCTAAATTCTAGGAATAAAACCAGGAAATGTTGCTGGAGGTCAGTGCTCTTGGAGGGGAAAAAATAAAACCCAACCAATGACCCCCCTCCTCTTCCCTCCCCCAAGCAAAAAAAAAAAAAACCCCAAACCAACCAAAAATCAACAAAAACCCAACTCTTGTCTCTCCTTTTTGAGTCTCTTGTGCAGAAAGCCAACCAAACATTCCAAGAATAGCAGAGGAGTTATTTCCTTTCTGAGCCGCAGATGGCTCTGGCATGCGTTGATCATCGGAGCCTCATTCAGAAAGGCCGTCTTCTCAGGAAATCCGGCTCAGAGAGCCATGGAAAGTGGTGAGTGAAGAACTAGAGCGTGCTCTGCCTTATCTCTAAGGTTTTTGTGAACATTCTCAGGAAGCTGAAAGCTTATTTTATGTCATGTTTGCTGAAACCTGCCAGTCAACTAGATTGTTGTTAAGAGAGAATTATCCCTAAAGTATCTGTGTAGGTACTTTTTTATCTTCCATACGAGTGTTGGTGACTTGAGCTAAAGCTTTTCAGGATGGACTGTCCAAGGAGAGTAACTCTGTCCTGTTTCCAAACTGCACATCTTTCTCTGATTGTGTCCATCATCTCCCCTCAAATCACTTATTGAATCTCTCAATTCTGTCCCAGCATACTTAAGCCTTTACCTGTAGCATATATTGAATAGGATATATAAGCTCAGTCTGTTATTTATTCATAGACTGGCGTGCTAGAGCTGAAAAGGAACTAGCTTTTTCCCTATAACTTTTAGCCCATGCAGTGTAGTAATCTTTAAGAA